AGGAGGAGCAGCAGCAGCAGCAGCCGCCGCGGAGGGGCCGGGCCAGGAGCGGCCTTGGCGGCGCCGGAGCCCGGCGGCGCTGGGTTTGCCCTTGGAGGGTGATGGGGAGGATTTCGGATTCCCGGAGCCCCGTGTCCTCAGCTCCATCGAGACACCCCCCCACACACACACACACAGACAGCGGAGGGAGCGGGGGGCACTTGTGCTTGACGGCTTGGCTCCAGGAGCGCCGGGCTGTGGCGGCACCGGGTCCCACGGCAGCCGGGTCAGGTTTGCCTGGAGGGTGGCTGGGAGCCGCAGCCTGCCCAGCCTCTGCCGTCAGGCAGGATTGGAGAGCAGTGGGTATGGCAGGAGTCCTGTCGCGACTTCTTCCACCCCCGAGTATTGATTTTGATGTAATTGGGCTTCCAGTCCGGATCGCAAGACCCAAACGCGCGCATGCGATGCCCTGTCAGCTCGTCAAAGCTTGTGAATTTGTGTCGCCGACAGCTCAGGAGCTAGTGTGCCTCTGCTAATACTGCTTTGGCAGTTGGCTTCGTTTTTTTGTGAAATCTGATGTAGCTGTTGTAAGGCAGGTGCACCAAGCGCGGGAGGATGCTCTGCTCCGGCGCGCTTTTAGACGTGAACAGAAACCGCGCTGCTGCCGCGCGGCGATGGCAGCTACGCTGCCCAAACCCCAGAGGTATTACGGAAGTCAAGTGGGGAGAACACCTATAGGTTATTTCTTTTTTTTATAAATGACTTTACTTGAGGTCAAGAAAAGCATTGGTATGAAATAGCCTTTCAAACAGGCCAGTCGTTTATTTGCTGTGTCAGCAATATGTCTGAAAGAAAAGGCATGCTCCGTAACCTACATTTCAAAGGTCACAGTGCTACTGCTCCAGGCTTCCGAAAATCACAGTTCGAGCCAGCATCATGGCTGGTTTGAAGGTTCGCTCTGTTCTGCTGCTTATACTATACCATTTCTGTCAAAGATGTATCCCAAGTGGAATTTCAACACATGTTGAAATAGGTAAGACATGTTCAGAATTAATTTTCGTGTCTTTTGAGTTGCTTGGGAAGAGAAGTGAATTCAGATTTGGCTGGAAAGCAAAGGGAGGAAATAAAGTAATGAGCATTCAACATAATCTTAAAAAAACGTGAATAACAGAGGATAGATAAGTAGTTTGGTTTTGGAGTTTGAAACTTTACTGTTTTTATAAGCAAAATGCTTGAATCAACTTGGTTGCGTATTTTTCCGTCTTCTAAAACACAGGCATTATGTAACTGGAATGTTTGTGTCTGTGAGTCTTATGCAGACAGGGTTTGGTTTGGAGAAAGAAAAGGAATACTTTACGCAATTTATGGGATTGTTATATTTAAACTAGAGAATAACACAGACCATTTGTGGTAGCTCTGTTTTCAAATCACCGTGTATTAATTTTGCCATACCTGCATAAAATAGATAAAATGCTGTAATGTGTTTGTATCTATGACTAACATAATGAAAATTTTCTTCTGTGTCTCTTTCTGGTAGGTTGCTATCTGTAGCCTGAGCAGCCTAGATTTGTAGAGAATGAAGGAGAGAACTGAGTGACCATCAAAGTGGGGAAATATTTCTGTTTCGAATTTCTTGTTTGCATGTGTTATTTTTAAAATCTGGTTTCTGCTGTAGTTTTTGCAAGAGCACTCATGAGTAGCGTGAGGTTATTCTGAGACATTTACTCATAATAAGTTGACAGTTTTAGTTGTTTGTTCTTCTGCTTCTGGTTCTAAATCCGTTGCTCAAACAGACAGTAAAACGTATGATGTTGTCTCTATTCAGGTAATCTTCTCAGACTTTAAGTACTGAACACATGCAACTTTGAACAAGTTAAAGGTTGGGATTATTCACGACATTCGAGACTTGAGAGTGTGTTCCCTTACAGAGTGTTGTACCCTAGGTCAGCATCCTGCAACCATTTGCTTTTCCTAACGATATGTCAGGAAATCCATAGTAATCGGTAGGAGAAGTCACACTGCCTGAGGTTAGGCAAGTGCATACGTTTTTGCAAGCTTGGGGCTCCAATTACTGAGTACGAGCTTCTGAAAACATGAAGTAACAGATTTGGTAGAATAGAGTGTATTTGCTAGAAATCTGCAAAAAGAAACAAGAGCTTATGGATCTGTCCCAAAGCAGTAATGTTTTTCTAATCTAGGAAACATATTGCAGAAAACCTGCATTTATATAATTTAAAGATCTTGGTTGTCTGAGGAGTAGTGTGTACACTGAACTATTGGGTCATAGTTTACAACAGTTAATTGTGTCCATTTGCCTGAAAATGACATTAAACTGGGATCAGCTCTGATGCTGCTAAAAGCAGTGTTTTTATTAATGTGCAAATAAAAGTCCATGATGGTAAGATACAGCAAGTTATTGCCAAATCCAAACAGTGAGCATTCCAGGAAAAGAAACCAAAACCCAACAAACTGTAGAAAAGAACTCCTCCGACTCAAAACCAGCACCAAAATCTATCCTGGACAGACTTCTGAAAGTACTTTTAAAATGGTGAAAAGCTCTGCCTGTTCAAAATGTTGATCATGTTCACCGTGCTCGGCAGAGCTGTGCTGTGTCCTACTTGCCATGGACTTGTTGCTGGAGGCGAGTCTGAGTGGGGAGGCTCTTCCCCCTCCAGGGGCTCTCGTCAGACCTGCCGGGCTCTGTGGGAATCCATCACGAAATTCATTGTAAAGGTGAATTTGTAGGACCTGGGCCCACATGAAAGAAGTCCAGGAGGGGATGTGAGACAGAAAAAGCAAAACGCCCAACTGGGACTCTCACACACTGGAAAGGGAGATGTGTGTTGAAATGGCTGAGCCTTGAAACAATAGACTTATTATTATTATTATTTTTAAGTTATTCCGGTTTTGGTGCAGGATCGGTCCTTAAGGTATCTTAACATATTTCTATAAGGATGGTTTAGATCAGTGGGTAAGAGTGAAAGATCATTCAAACCCACACAGTTTTGTCTAGATCTTATTCCAGAATGGGGATGAGGGGGGGTTGTGGTGTGGTTTATTTACTAAGGATCAAATTAAATTCAGCATATTCTGGGTTATCGTGATCAGTCTTAGTTTGTAAATAGCTTCAAGTGAGGAGTAAAACTTTGTGTGGGAGGGCAATACAATAACCCATGCATGCAGTTTCAACAGTAATTTTAGAGGCAATGTTGGGTATCTTTGAAATAGTGTTAATAGATTATCCCTGGGCTCTAACATTAATTAGAAGGAGACTTCATTAAAGAAAAGTGATGTCAGTTTGTTTCATTCTCTTGTTATGCTTGCTCAATAAATATTTTGGAAGTAAGAATGTCTGCCTAATCAGTGAATAAACAGTATTATTTACCTTGCTGACTTTAGGTTTTTGTTGGTTTTCGTACACATTAAAAATTAATCAAACTGTTAAACATCCGTGTGAATTCCTGAGGTACCTTTTTCAGTGCTAAGGGCAACGGTGAAACTTAAATACAATTCAGGTGGGTCCTTTATAGCTAGAACTTTATGATCCGTACTCTACACGTGCTGGGTGTGATCGTGTCATTTCACAGCTGTAGCTCAGTTCTGGACATAGGGAGTTCCTTTTCCCTGCGATTTAGGCTTTGTTGGTCAGCTTCAGAGCTAGGGATTAGAGAGAGACTGATGAGACCTCAGTGCCCAGATGTGCTACAGAAACGGTGTTTCCTCATTAGCTCCCTAGGTGAGAAAACACACTCGCTGGCATGTACAAAATTTTCCGAGAAATCGTGTTTCATGCACATGTGCCACTTGGCTTAGGTATGACAATGAGGTGTATTCTGGTTTTGATAATGCTTCTAACAAAACATGGGCCTGGCTGCAGCACCTATAAATCAATACTTCAATTTGTTGTTTTTCAGCACACAGAGCTCTGGAATTTTTCTTTAAGCGTGAAGGGAATGTTAATTATAGACAGGTAGGAAGCGTATTATTGCTTAATTGTACACCTTTCTTCTGAATGTTTTTCTGTCTTCTTGCCTTTCTTTTCTTATTTATTCTCAGTAATATGTTTGTAAATATTGTGCCTAGACTGTATTTTTACCTTTTTTGTTGAAAATCATTTGACTCCTTCTGAATACTATTACAAATATGTAGCAATTACTATAATGTATATATACTGTGTGCGGTTTCTCACATGTTTTCCCATCTTCTTAAGTCATACCCTCTGTGAGTAGTTGTATTAGAAGAATCAGTAGAGGACTTTTGGAAAGGAGATATAATATACATAAGGACAGCAAAATGACAGCAAGGTTTTGAGTTTAGTCCACCACATGTATCATTTAACCGATTTCTTAGTGATGCAAATAGTTTTTTCTTTGATGGGCTGTATCCAGCAGAGCACTTTAAGCACGTGGACAGTTTTCATAAATGCATAAACAAAACACGTATGTTTTGTGTTTAAAACATTTTTAATATCCTTTAGGACAATGTAAAGAAGACCATTTTATATAACTTGGTCTTTTATCCAAGTAGGAGATCACTCAAGGGAAGTATTGACATTGTCCGCTGTAGACAGCTATGCCGTAATTCAGAGGATGGAAGTTAGCAACGCAGGCTTCATGTCTAGTCCACGAGGAGGAGGGCACCTTCAGAAAGTGACTTAACCAGCACCTAAGATCATACAAATAGTTTCCTAAATGGCCTTTCAAATTACAGTGTATACCAATTAGTCTCACTTACAGGGATTTGGGGGGGGAATGATGGGGGATGATGACAACACTGAAATAACGTATTTTACCAAGATAATAGTTGTGCCTTGCTGGATATTTAAATTTTATCTTCAATATTCATGGTAAGCTCTGTTTTCGTGCTGTGCAATAGCATTCTGATTACTTTTTCCCCCATCCTTTTCCCAGTTATTACTAAACCACCAAGATGCTTTTCAGGCTGGGAGCATTTATCCTGATGCCTTTTATCCTTCAATCTGCAAAAGTGGTAAGAAAAGCTTTATGAGTCCAATATTGTAACAACTGTATTTTTATGTGAAAATCCTATAGAATTTAGTAGGGTTGAAAAGAGTTATGTTGTAACAAACGAAGTGTGGCCAAAAATACCTTCCTGCAAAAACATGCGCCATTTTTGTTAGTGTTTTGAGCCTTTTTGTAGAACTTTATATGAAAATAATACATTTGAAAATGTGTTTAGAAAGTAACTTTTGGGTAAATGTAACTATCTAATGTGTAGGGCAATTTGATAGAAGGTTGCTGTTTGACTAAATTAGGTCAGATTACTGAGTACAGCTTGGGGAGAAACTGAGAGGACAAAATGATCTTTTTTCTAAGTCTTAGGGAAAGCCTAGAGATAATTTCTGTCAGATCAGTCACAAAGATGATAGGAGAATATAAAAAGAACCCACAAAAACAAAATATTGTAGGACTTGCTGGGTGGGGGGAGTGTTAGTATCATCCCAGGTTAAAGCCTTTGTTTTTCAGACTGCTGTCTTTTGCCTTTTACTGCTTCCCGTTTGAAAGTAATGTCAGTCTTAGTTTTGTGCAGATCTGAAGACTGCACCACAAAATTAGCACCCTGTTGCAATGGCTGTAAAAAGTATGTCTTGGCTCGCAGGTGGTCCTCAGATTTTTTCAGCTCTGGTAGGTCAGGTCTTGATCGTTATCAGCTTCTCCAGCAACTCTGGAGCTATAAAACAGCCGGCTAGGGCTTACTCCGGGATATTTGCTGCTAAAGTGGTAGATCTGGATAGTGAGCAGTTAGCAAATGGGACAAAGACAGCCTGTCCTCCAACAACAAGCCATTAGGATGTTTAGGCAGATACCAGCGACAAGGCAGCGATGTGTAGTTTGTGTGAGGATATCTAGCCTATTCGTGGTTGAGATCGTACTGAAAAAGTAAAGTATGGGAGGTGGTCTATTTTAGTGGGTCATGCAAATTCAGATCCATTAAATTCAAAGTGTTCTTAGGATCTTTGTTTGGTTTCCCTCATCTTTTACATGTTTTTCAGCTGAGTGCCAGTGCCTTCACTTATTTCAGTATTTATTTTTGCTGCCTCAAACTGCAAAATCCTTCTTTGTCTTTCCAAGGATGCTTTCCCCGACTTTTCTCATTGCCTGCTCTACTTAGAGTCTTAAATCACACAGTGGCAGCTAGACTTATCACTGTTTCTCAGTCACAGGTTGTTGATGCTGACTGTTGTTTATGCCAACTGCAGGCTGCTTCGTTTATATCTGGATAGGCAGGTTGCCCCATCTGGGTTGCCTAACAGGGGATCTTCTCTGTTGTTATGTTGTGATGCTCAGTTCACATCCAGATTGCCCCTCTGCTCTGGCATTTAATACTGGTTTTGTCTCCTGTCACTCACCAGGTCACTGTTCCTGGTCTTCTGCCTGGCTCTGCTAACATCTTGTCCCAAACTTCAGTCTCGCTTGCCTTGTTTTCAGGACTGATGTTCTCCTGGGATTTCTTCAGTTCCTACCTTAACTTGGTTATTTCTACCTACCTCGTCTTTCCCTTCTAGCAATTTTGACTCCTGCCTTATATCAGGTCAGTGATCAGAGCCTCTCTTTCTGCAGTCTCCAGCCTGTATTCCTTCACTAAAGTTGGGGTCAATCTTGCCTTGTTTTATACTTGGGCCGCTGGTCAGTGGTCTCCTTAGTCAATATGGAAGAAATAGGTACCTCTGCAGATCTGAACTGTTTTAACTGTGCCTCTAGATCAAGAACAATGCCATCCAGACTGCCTTTCCAGGCAGGAGGCAAACTTAGATGTAGAAGTCTACTCTGTGAACGTTTAATTTTGGTCTAGCAAATCCCATCCTTATGTTATCTAGTTCAGCTGCACTGTAAAATGTCAAGAGGCCAGGAGGTGACTGAATTACCTACAAGGTCTGCTCACTCAGTTTCAGCATTTAATATACCTTAGTCTTCTGCAGTTTCACAGTCCTCTGTGAACAAACACATAGTTTTCCTCCAAGTGTATTGATGGTCCGAACAATCTATCTCCTGCCTACCGTCTTGCCCCGTAGAGGATTTAATATTGTGCTGCTTGGTCTTGTCATGTCAGCATCACTTTGCTCTTAGCTTCATGTAGGTACACAGAAATTTTTAGGCAAGGTCACTGTGTTAGATCCTACATAATCTCTTCTGCATAAATCCAAGTGAGAGTAATAATTGATGCTTAAAGGAAAACCTGATTTTTTCTGCTTTCCTTTGCTCTGCTTCTGCTCCTACACTGACTGTATCTTGGCAAGTTTGACATTCTGTTGAAAATGATGATGACATAGCCTTCCTCTGCCCTGTGGAAACTGATACCTGACCCAAAGCATGATATTTTGAGTTGGCTGCCATGCCCATCAGCTTTTCTGCCATGCAATTTGATGCATTCATTTAGTCAACGGCATCTCTGTCAGCTCTCTTTATTCTCTCCACTTGGGAGGCCGTCTTTCGTTGTACTGTACCTACTCACAGGCACAGAGAAAGGGAGCAGGCACAAAATTTTCAGATGCTTCAAACCAAAATCATAGAAGGTAAATCTAGTATCTCTTTTGACAGTATAAATCATATAAAAATACATCTCGTTTGGTTCTTCTCATATAAGTGGATTGCAAAACGTATTGTCTGTACGATATGAAATTGAAAAAAGTCTGTGGGTTTTTTTCTTGGAGGAAACTTTTTCTTTTTTCTCCCTCCCTCCCCTCCCCCCCAAAAAGAATAAATCAAATACTGATACAATTTTATTGCAATAGGAATATTCCATGATGTGTCAGAAGACACTCACTGGTCACCATTTCTCAGTGCAAGTATTCACTACATCAGAAGGAATTATCCTCAGCCTTGGGAAGAGGTAAGAAAATTTCATTAGCTTTTGACTTTGCTTTCTACTGTTTTCTTTGCCTTCACTTGTTGTTGCAACTCATCCTTTGGGAAGTGTAGAAAAAAAGCATATTTTTAAATCAAAGTCTCTGCTGATACAGGAAAATTTGAAATCCTGTCTTCATCTTCACCAGACAAAAAAGTTACAGTTTCCATATAAAGTCTATCAGTTACCTCCAGTGTGGTCTGGTGCTTATGATACATTTCATAGGTCCAAAATTCCAAACATGATTGGTAGTCTTGCATTATTATCAGATCTGGTTGAGTGTTTGCCACTTAAAAACCAGGTGTCTTTTGGAATTGTCACTTGTGAAATCTTGGACTTAGTCCTGATTTGCTCTTGTTTATGGTATATGAGCTACTTAGGAGGAGAGGAAAACCAAATTGTCAAAAGTGAGAATGATCTTAAAGGTAATATTGTTTTCTTTTCCTTACTAGAGTACTTGCCATTCTCCCTCTGCTCAGGAGAGTCATACAGCATTTGAGAGCATGCACTCTTTAAAACCTAAACAAGTTTGCCTGCCTTTTCACTGGCCATTGGTGATACTGATCTTGTGAACTATTAACCCTTGGGAAGTATAAGTTGTCAAAAACTATGATTCGATTAAGAATTTTTAAAAGACCTCTGGAACTTACAGTGGTTCAATGCAGAGAAGTCTTTTCTGGAGAAATGAAATTTCTGTTGCTGATAAATTTATTCCAAATAACTTTTCTGTTTGTAGGAATAAGATGAGTAGTTTCATACCTGGACTTTAATTGGGTACTTTTACAGTGAGCAGCACTTGCACAGGAATGTCTTTTTCTCCTCTGTGTGCCTGCATGACAGCCATGGTGGCAGAGGGGATTCACTCCTTGGAAGTGGAAGTGTTTGATGCCAGTTCAGAAAAACACTTTAGTACACATCTATCTTGAAGTACACAAGTTGTCCTGACATCAACCATGCAATTCTGTGACCTTGGACTGTATGAAGTGCTTAAAGCTTCTCAAGTCACAAAAAGTGACTCCAAGCATCAAGGAATGAGTAGTCAACACTTTGTCATGCTAAGTTCTTGAATTTTAAGAGTTTCTCAGCTATATCCTTGTATAATACACATACATAAAATGCTCACCTCTTCTTAAAGACAGGAGTAAAATTACTGATGTTACTACAAGTAGATTGTTGTTGTGTAGGCTACAGAGAAGCTGGTGGCTTTCCTGTTTGGAGTTGCCTCGCATATGGTGGCAGATATTAGCTGGCATAGCCTGGGCATCGACCAAGGATTCCTAAAGACCATGGGAGAAGTAAGCCTGTATTATTTTATTTATTGAGGTAACTGGATTTGTCGGAATTGATAGCTTAGCTTTGGACTCTAGTGGGGAGGCAAGAGAAAAGCTGGAGTCCTGTTTCAGGAAGATTTTCAGAGAGATGTAATGTCATGAACTCCATAAGAATGAAGTTGGTCAGGTTTGGGACCTGTAAACTTCAGGGCTGCTTGGAGAATTTGTTTCTGCTCATAGGTTTGTATGGAAGGATGAGTAAAATAAATGGACAGTTCTCTTGTTTTTCTCTTTCTCCAGATTGATTTTCAAGGTTCATACTCGGAAGCTCACAGTGTTGGCGATTTTGGTAATGTTTCTGTTTGCTGATCGTAGATCCTTCTGTTAGAATAACTAGTCCACTTCAAAACCACAGTGGGTGATTCCAGCTCTTAGCCTGTGCAGTGCTGGAGCCAAGATGGACACTGTATTCTCACTCTCCCCCATTGCTTGCAAAGCCCTGCTATACCTGTCCTCATGCTCCGTGTTTCAGGAGATGCGATAGGGCATATGGACACTTGCTTTAAAGCTCAAACACAGGCTGAAGGATGCTAAGGTTTAAATGGAGTCACTACTGTGATTTTAAATTTTACATTATTCTTACTCTCTGGAAGTGTGAAATATGCAGCATACTTTCAGGTGAACCATTTATGTGTTCTAAACATAACAGCTGGAGGATCTACCATATAAATATGGATAGCATAGCCATACATAGCTTCATCTGCCCTGTTACCCATGATAGATACTTAACAGGTTTTGTTTGTTGGGCTTTGTGGTTTTTTTTCATTCTTCCATCCACAGGAGGAGATGTACTGAGTCAGTTTGAGCTGGACTTCAGTTATCTGGCATCGAATTGGTAAGATAATAAGGTTGCCTTCTTTAATAATTATTTCTGCTTACTCTGTATACTCACTGTGTTAACAAAATGCTGTCCTCCTTTACCTTTCTTTCAAAAGAAAACCTTGCAGCTGTTGGAATTTTTCTGAGTTTGGTATTCCTCGTATGCGTATTTACTGTTCCCTGAAATGAAAAACTGGAAGGACAGAAGAAAAAAAGGGTTTACATATAGGGACACAGCAAGAAAGATTAAATTATTTATCACTGAAGGAAACTATAAGTAATTATATGTAAAATAATCAGTGAAAAAGGTTTGCTGGAATGTCCTAACAATTAGTTAAAGAACTCCGTTAAATAAATCTCACTTAGAGTTCCATTTAAAGTTTTGGAAGTTGAGGATGTTTATGGTTATACATGCTGTGGAATTCAGACAGGTTTTAAAAGCATAAAAAGAAGCAGCAGTTTTAGAGAATACACATTTTTTTTCTCACAGTTTTTAAATGAAAGAACTCACATGCCTTTTTTCTGCTGATAAAGTAGGTCATTTGAGTAGTTTTGTTTAAGTAGGATGTAGTTTATCTAGGTGTAGAAGGCACAGTTCATTAATAAAACTCTGGGACAGCTGTGGGAAATGTCTGTTTGGCTAGAGTGGATTTGGCACAGTGCAGAGTTGGAGGACATCCTCTGAGATTATGTGATGGCCAAGCCAGGGAACCAGTGTGAGGGTGTGGAAAGTCTATCAGCAGTAGCTGTAGGGGTATGGCTTTACAGGTTTCTGACTTTGAACCTAAACAAGAGGAGAGTGTTGTGCAGAGAGTAACTGCACCTGCAATCCTGGTCTTTCTGGCATTTGTAAATCATCATGACCTTCTATAGTCTTTTGAAATTTAGAATATTTTAAAGCAGGCTATTGTTACTACATGAACTGTAATCTTTTATCAGGTGATGGGAAAATCTCTTATTATAATACTTTCGTCTTATTTTTAGGTATGTACCTGTCAAAGACCTAGCAGCTATCTATAAGGAATTTTATGGAAAAGAGATCATAACTGAAAGCACAATTACTGACTGTACTTACCTGCTGTTTCTTGAACTGTAAGTTGAATAACTTTGTCTGGGTTTTCATAAGTGAAACATATGTAGGAAAATGATGAAAATCCTATTTGAAATGACTTATGCATTAAGGCCAGCAATGTAGACTCCCTACTAGACCCCAAAATCATAAAACACCTGAATTTTTTTAATGGCTAGAATACAAATTCAGACTGCTTAATGACTGTTAAATTCATTATTACATCACAGATTCAGCATCTTAGCTATTTAATGCATTTATGTGTTTAATGTATTTATGCCTATTTATTTGAGAACAGCTGTGTCTTCAAGTACCATTGCATTGTGGCATGTTAGCAATACAGTTTTCATGTACTGAAGGAGTAGTGTACATACCTAAATAGATGGCTTACCTACACTTTATGTAGATCCCTTCAAGTCCAAGGATAACTCAAAAGAGACTTTTGATATCTGGCAATGTCTCCTTGTGAATATCCTTAACAGCCTAGCCGTATCCTTTATTTCGGTTAATTACCAATAGTCATGCAGCATTTAGAAACACTGTGAAACCCTTGAAATCAAGGGCAGCAATAAAGTTACTATCATTACTTCTCAGGTTACAGCTTTTAAAAATATATTGACAGCCAACAAGGAAATGTAATGGCTTGCATAGCATTTACCATACAGAAGCCTTGAAAAGAAATGTTTAAATAATTAAATATTATTAAATTAAGCAAATATTTTTCTGAAGATTATTTGTTTTTCAGGCATGGAGAAAGGCTTGCTGTTGCCAAGGTTGGTTTTCTGTTTTCTTTATAAAAATGAATATATAGTATGAAGACAACGTAGTCCATCTTACTAAGTATGTTGCTTGTCTCTTAGCTTTTTCCAACATATGCTAGTAAATCTCCATTTCTGGTGGAGAAGTTCCATGAGTATTTCCTCGGAGGAGTGGATGACATGGCCTTCTGGACAAACAATATTTTTGAGCTGACAAGCCATATGCTAGAGAATGGAACCAGGTATAGCATGTTTCCTGCAACATGAAATGCAGTAGTCAAGTCCTGACACCCATTTAATTGTCTTCTGAAGGCAAGTTCTTTCCTAGAAGAGGTGCTGAGCTTTAAATCCTCACTTGGACAAGGGGATTTCTGTGGTTGTCTTTTACCCGTGTGCAGAGGATTACATAGGCCTTGAGTTCACATTTGTCACATGTTCACACTCCTTTCCCCAGGCAAGGCTCTGGCATGCCCAGCTGATACTCGACAGGGAAAATTTGGGGCATTCTTTAAGACATACTCAAGGGCCTGCTTAAATATTGCGTAGCCATGCCCTGAGGTTCTGCCTGGCCTGGCACTCTGAGCTGTGGCTGTGGCTGCACCTTCTCGCTGCTGTCATCAGCCAGCAAAGATGTCCCTTCCTAGGGGAGGTCAGATATTGCCTTCAGACGCTTAAGGCAAATAGGATTAGAAAGAGTGAGAGTACATATTCTAGTGTTAGAAGGTCAGGCTTGTACTCGGAATATCGTATTTTTATAGAAGTTCTAGCCTTGTACTGCTCTGTTGCAAGTGTAATCTTACTTAAATAACTTTGTAGGACCAACAGTGGCAATTAATCCATCCATTTATATGGAAAATATCACTGCAGCTGCTTTGGGAAATTATGTTTGAAATACAGTATGGCATAATCTGTTTTGTTCTTTGTTCCAGAATGGCACTTTCATTAAAAGTGCTTTAGATTAATAGATTTAATAGAATGTTACAATAAGTTTCCTTTAAAAGTTATATAAAGAGATGTGAGATTCATATAGAACCTAATCAAGGTCATTAAAATAAATATCAAAGGGGTTTCTAAGGATTGTAATGGTGCTCTAATTTTGAATAAGCAGAGTTTCTTGAGAAAACTGATGAATTCTAGTAGAGGAATCAGTAAGGATAAAAGTTGTATGTTTAGTTTCACTTCCATTGTGGGAAAATCTTTAAAATGCATTCTGCATATTTCTTTAGTGGCTGCTTCCTGCCTGAGAACCCTCTGTTTATAAACTGCACAAGGGAGCACAAGGACAAGTACGTGTAAGTATAGCTCTGACGGTTCAAAGATTTACTGATGAAAAGAGGGTCTTCTGCTAATGTGGACAGTGAGCTACTGAAAATTAGAGATCTTTTGGTTTATCTTTTTGTGTGCGAATTTGAGTCTCTCTTAACATGAGTAAGTAAGCTTCCTGTAGGGGAACTGTGCGGAACCTGAGAGAGACTTCTACCTTCCAGCCTAAGGACAAGAATATTACCTAACACTTGAAATGCTAAGTCTTCACACTTTATTTGGTTGTCACTCTTTGTTCCACTAATCATGAAACTACTGATTCATGTTTACCATTACCATAGCTAAATTCTCTCCTGATTTATGTGCAGAAATACGGAACTCAGCTGTTCAGAGCACAAGTGTATGTATTCCTCCAGCAAACATCTCAAGAGAAACCAGCTTAACTGGTATCTCTTGAGAATTCCATTTATACATGGGAGAAATAGCCACCTGATCACATACAATGGGTTTGCTTCTCCTAGCTTTGTCATAAAATACTCCAGTCATTAATTCAGCTATATTAATTGTTATTACTGTCTTTTTTATTTTAGCAAAAGCAAACAATCAAAACATGAACGTCACAAGAATACAACTTCTTTGCTTACAAACACACCTGAAAAGAATATAAACTATACAGAGAGAGGAGTTCACTTCAACACAGAATCTTGGGCAACAGTAAGTGAGAAGTGACAGATGTGTCAGGTAAAATTCAGCTCTGTATAAAATTGTTCTAATTTCTATCTGAAATGCTGCATGATGGAGCAGGGTCTCTGGATGTTAACAGTAGCCTCTGACTCCACTTCGTGGAGATTTCCAGCGCCATTGTTAATCTGTATATTTTTACATACATTGCAAATATTCAATTTTTGTACTTTGCTCCTTGTATAGTGAAGTTAGGACACATCTTGCAGTGCCAAAAATGACAAAATATATCTTTAGTATTTACGCTTTAGTATTTAGATTTTACAGAATCATATCATCACTTTTGGGGGTTAAGAATTCCCAACAAAGCATAGCAGTGCTCCATTTAGAGCATACAGATTTTTGTCTCTATGAAATGGTGCTTGTGACCTGAGTCAGAGTCCACTTACACCAATGTGGTCATTTCCACTGTTGGTGACTTGGTTTTTGAGGTGCTCCATAATGTTCTAGAGTTTCAGCCTGTGTTTTAACTATTTTTGTGTCTCTTTTATTATTTTTATTTCAGAATTCCCTCCGCTTGATAAACCATGCTTTTGCAACCAATGTCTGGAGAGCGTTAGCACCTACACATCAAAAATCTCCTAAGCACATCTCCAAGCCAGCAGCTTCATATTTTCTGACTTCACCCTATGCTAGGCTTGGATGGTTGGTAATTTTTTTCTTCCTGCCTCCCTCTTAAATTCTGATAATTTTGAGTACCCACAGAATATTAATGTTTAGTCTTTGGATACTCTTTAAAGGTGACAGTCCAAATCAATTAGTGGTACAAATCTGGCTGAATGGCTTACATTGTCTGGCCAGAACAACAAGTTAACACGTAAGACCTTTCTTTCAGATGTTAGCGTAAGCCTCTTTGTGTCGAATAAAACTGTATCAAGAGCAAAATTTCCATTCAGATGTGCATTCTAGTCAGATAACCCCTTTCTTTGGAAGGGTAGTCTTGTCATTTTTTTACTTTCTCTCTCCTTAGTGGAGGAGCTCAATGCTCTGTGTGTGATCAAGCTCAGAATGAAAGGAACTAAAATTAGAACCAACATTGGCTCTAGTTCTGAACAGTATGGGAACATTGTTACCCTTTTTTGGTTGTTGGTTTATGTTTGGGCAGAATTAATTCTCCGTCCGGAATTGATCACTAGGAGGGAGTTCAAAGATAGATTCAGGACACAAAGAGGCATATTCTCTTTCCTTGCCAGAGAGCTTCTAGCTTGACCTGCAACAGAGAAGAGTAATAAAATAAATTTGCATTGCTGCTCATCTTGCTTTATTTCTTCTGACTCAAAAATTGAAGATTTAATCCTTGAGTTTACTTCATACCAGCCAAATTAACGGTAGTTAGGTTTTTTTCTCTCCACATTCCCTCTCTAAACTCCAACATGTTACTGAGACCTGTGATCCCTTTGCTTATCTACTGTTAAGTCTGTCAATTAAATCAGAGGTTCAGTTAAAAAGATACTTAATTTCATCTTTTGTATTCTGTGTCATATGCTTGCTCTGATTGCTCTCAGGTGCCTTGTGTCAGTAAGTAAAAAGCAGTTCCTACAGATCTCAGATGCATTAATGGAAGATGAATCTTCAAGGCTCTGTTTTTATTTAATTCAAGAAAACAAAAATCTGAAAAATGCTGAGTAGATTTTTACAAAAATAGATGGGGAAAGACAGGTCTTGGTTCACCTGAAAGAAGTAAAAGTATTTATTCTCTTCTAATGTTGTGATAGTCCGGAAGCTAATGCTATTATTTTGTCGACTCCCTTGCTGTACAGGGCAATGATCTCGGCTGACCTAAACCAGGATGGATATGAAGATCTGGTGGTTGGAGCACCAGGGTACAGCACGTTGGGCCATATTCAGATAGGACGGGTGTATGTGGTCTATGGCAATCAGTCAGGTTTGCCGCCAGAGGACATGGATCTAGATGAGAAAGCTGACCAAGTACTACAGGGTCATCAGGTGAGAGGTCAAGACAGGTAATTTTCACTTAAATTGTTTTGCCTGCAAATGTGGTAAATTTTGACTGAGCAACAGTATCATTAATATGTATGAAGATTATTCCTGAAATACCCCTCCTGGTAAAAAGATGTCATAAGCTTTTCAAGAAAAATAACTGTTATATAAGTCACAGGAACAATTAAAGCAATGGTGATCTGTAGGTTCACTTTTATTACTGTGCCAGATAAGTGCGTATTAGAACATAATTTGCTCTTGAATAAAATGGAGGTAGTGTCTCTGTAAGTTACAGTGTAGCTCATTTGGGTCCCTGCATTTATGAAAATATTGTGATTTTCCCTTCCTTTTTCATCTAAAGTTATTAATTCAATATAAGTTTCAATTCCTTTGAAGCTACATTTTTTCATTAATGGATAACTTCTCACAAAACCATTGTTTGTCTTTACTAAGAGTACATGTTATTTTAAGAAAGAGAAGACTACAATTTACCATGATGGTGACTGGCTTGTAACTGAGAAGCAGGATCGAATCATCTTTTTGAGTAATAAAGATGATCCTCTGTAGAAAATATCTTTATTCACAAAGAAGAGAGATGAGATACATTTCCTTTTAATCTGTTTCTGTGGTTGTAAACTGTGAAGTAACAGCTGCTGTCTTCTTATAGAGTGTTTTAGTGGTTCACAGCTATAATGCTGTTAACAGGAAAGATCATAAACTTAATACCAATGGTGCACTAGGCTCAGAAGAGGAAATGGCAAAGCAGCGCCATATTGTGTTCAGTTATCTTATATTTTAATAACTCCACATCCTCAAACAGAACAGTTGACTCTGAGTTAGTGTATTAGCATGACAGTTATTACTTGGGAGAATAGTGACGCGAAGAAAATCTTAAGAATTGTTGGGATAGATTTTTGTAATCTCTGTTTCCAGTTCTTCCCTGTGCTGTGATTGCAAATGTGCATTAGGTTTTGATGGTTTTGTCTTGAAAACATCTGTTATTTTCATGAGAGCAATCCCTCTTCTTTTAGCCTTCAGGAAGATTTGGTTCTGCCTTGGCAATCCTGGACTTCAATGAGGATGGGCTGCCAGATCTGGCAGTTGGAGCACCTTCTGTGGGATCTCAGTTTCTTACTTACAAAGTAAGCCACTCACATGGGTTTGTTGGGATTTTTTCCCTCCAAACAGAACATTTTTATTGATCCATATTTTTTTGAACAGGGAAACGAGAGAGAGAATTTCTGTTGTTGCTCAAGGTGACACTGTAATTTAAACACAAAGGTTTATAACCTTTGTGGGTATTTTGACTACAGCAATGACAGCTATCTGTATTTCTCTTGGCCTTTTTGCGCATTAGAAATCCAAATCAGATTGCAGCTATGCAGCACTGATGTGCTGGAAATGTAAGGAGCCATTCATGAAATACAAGTGTACCCTTTTTATTTAGGAACAGAGTGTCTGGAACGGACCTCATGGGTCAGTGAGCCTCGTCATCTGCTGTCACAGGCCAACAGATCATATCTAAAATGTGATAGGAACACAGACACACATGCTAAAATAATCAAGTTACAGAGGCTTAATGACTTGCAGCTTACTAGATAAGCCATGTAATGGTCCCTGAGTATTTTCAGCCCATGCAAACCGAGAGGCAAAATGTTTTCATTTAAACCATATCCATTAAGCTTAAAACTCTTCAGAATTTCAGATACTAAATTAGCTGCCTAAATAGTAATTTAAATGCTTTTATGTGTACCCACTAGCTTGGAAAATTGCATGGATCTGTTATGCCTGGCACTGTGTGCCATTGCCTTAAATAATAATTAACAAAATTTGAGCCACCTGAATGTGTGTATAACGAATGTAAATATACAGTATACTGTCCTTGCTCCTTGCCCATGATATGATGAAAATGTACTTCTCTGTACTTCTCTAGTTTGTTGCCTGGTTATAGCAGTACCCATAACAGCATGGGTGTTCTTAGGTTTGGGGTGGAAAAGTCAGCATTATGAGAAGGCTCTGATAGGAAAAATGCAGTTGTATTAGCCCTTGCAGAACTGTTTCACTCCTTGTGCTTTGTTTTGGATTTCATTCTTGGTGTTGACATGCAGATGCTCTCATGCTGTATTTGCTTTTCCTGCTGTTTAGGGTGCTGTGTATGTCTATTTTGGCACTGAAGGAAGAGGCTTGGCATCTCAACCAAACATTACCATAACTTGTCAGGTATATTGATCAGGCTAATACAGGGCTACACAAACAGGAGGTGAGATAAAGGGGAAATGGGCTTATGGGCTTAAAAAAAGAATGTTAAAATCAAGCTTCTAATGGCAAGGGAATTTAAACTGATGGGGACAGTGCAAGCAGGTGCTTGCCTAGGTTGGTTGTATGTGAGAAAGACATTTGTACTCCAGTGCAGGGGAGGCAGCAGGTGAACAGAAAGTGCATAGCCCTGCAAAAAACCCCAAAGAAAACAAAATTGAAGTTAGGGAGTGAGAGGGTAATTTGATCAGAAGCAAGGTTAGCTCTTTAGAAGTAAGTTGCTCTATTGTGTTACAGAATTGGTGGTTTTGGTTCCATTTCAGCCTCAAACTAACTGTTTATTTCAGTATTCCTACTGTAATCTTGGTTGGTCCCTCCTGGCAGCTGATGTTGATGAGGATGGAAATGCTGATCTGGTTGTGGGCTCTCCATATGCACCCGGTGGTGGGCAGCAGAGAGGATTTGTGGTTGCATTTTACTCTTATTTCAACAGGAGTGACCAAGGTAATATTTATTGAGTAAATTAACTCTTCCATATTTTATGGGACTGTTCATTTGTTCCTAATTAATCATAGAATAATTCAGGTTCAAAGGGATCTCAGGAGGTGTCTAGTCCAGCCTCCTACTCAGTAAGAGGACAGCTATAAAGCCAGACCAGATTGCTCAGGGGTTTATCGGGTCAGGTCTTAAAAACCTCCAATGACAGAGATTGCACAGCCACTCTGGGCAGCCGGTCCACTTCTTGGCTGTCCTCATAGGGAGAAAAATGTCTTGTTACAGCCAGTATGAACCTCTCTTTTTTCAGCTTATGCTCATTGTCTGTTGTCCTCCCACTATGCTTAGTGAAGTCAGAGGCACAGAAGGCATTGAGTACCTTGGTACACTGGGACAAGCCTGCCTCTATCTCCTTGTTAACCTCCTCATAGGTACAGGCAGGCTGCTGTTGGGTCCTCTCAAAACCTTCTTTTCTCCCGGCTGAATAAGTCCCAGTCCCTTAGTCTCGGCTGACAGCGCAAGTGCAGCAGCCCCCAACCATCTTGGGGGCCCTCCACTAAATTTGCTGCAGTTTATCAACATTTTTCCTGTTTTGTGAGGTCCAGATCTGAACAATGTATTATAGGTATGGTCTAGGGAGGAGTAAAGGGGGAACAATCACTTCTCTCAGTCTCTTTGCCATGCTTACATAGCCTGGGATGCTGTTGGCCGTCTCTGTTGTCAGAGCCTCATGCTCAGCTCTCTGCCCACCAGGATCTCCAGGGTCTTTTCCACATAGCTGCTCCCCAGCCAGTCTGTCCCCAGCCTGTATCGCTGGGGGCATCTCCTTTCCCAGGGGCAGGGCTTTGCATTTGTCCTCGCTGAATTTTGTGAGGTTCCTGTCAGCCTGTTCCTCCAGCCTGTCTGGGTCCCTCTGAATGGTAGCCCTGCCCTCAGGTGATAACCCCCCCCCCAATCTCCCGTCATCCGCCAACTTGATGAAAGAGCATGTTGTTGCCTTCTCCGAATCATTTATAGAAGTGTTTAACAGGATGAGTCTAAACATAGATCCCTGAAGGCACTCCACTTCTCAGAGGCACTAACCGCTGCCGTGCGAGGGTGATTGTCTCGCCAGGCTTTTCCCTTCTGGTTGTCCACCCATCCAGACTGCAGTGTCCCAGCTTGGATACAAGAACATTGTGGGACACAGTGTTGAAAGCCTTGCTAAAGCAATGGATTCAACTGTGTATCGGTGATGCCAGGGCAGACTCACTGGTCTTCCTTGGAAATTGGCAAGCGTACCTCAAAAGATGAATTTTTATCATTCTGTATCTTCCTTCATGTGGCTAAAGAGGAATGCTACAAGTGAATACAGCTAATGACTACAGGTGATGAGGACTGTTGTGAATGAGGGAGGAAAGGCCACCTATGGAGCTAAATAAAGTTAATAGGGGTTGGGCAGGATACACAGGTATTCAGAGCTTTGTCAGAATCATGTAATTGAGATTTCCAATGACACTTATTTTTTGTAGCTTATTCTACTTAATGTAGAATTAGAAACCGCAAGGAAAATGGGTTTCAAAACACTGCTGACTGACATTTTTGCAAAACCAAAACACAGAATGAATTAAAGCCAGAATTTGAAGCTCCCCCACCCACCAGCCTTGAAGAATTACAAGTTCTGATAAACAGTTTCAATGCTGTCCTATCCCTAAGAAGGAGTCACTAGCTTAGGGCAGGCTTGACCGATAGCTTTCATGTACTTTGTGTAGGCTATTGCAAGGATTTAGAAGCAGGCTATGTTGAATAAAGGCTTTCACCAGCCAGTATACTTGCAGACTGAGCAAGCGAACTTAGTAATAACTGGTGTCATATCGTGGACGGTGTAACTTTGCGTATAGGAGCTTGTTGTCATAGGATTAATCAGTGGAATATTGCTAACAGATTTTTCTATGCCAGGGTACACCAAGATTTAATTCATATTTTTCTGGTCTGTCAGGACTTCTTTCAGTACAGGATGCCAACTGGATGGTGAAGGGGGAAGAAAACTACGCTTGGTTTGGATTTTCACTTGACAGCTGCCAGCTGGAGAATGTAACATTACTGCTGATTGGTAGCCCTACATGGAGGAGTTGTGCTGGGTGTGTTGTATATGACAGCTTGCTCTCCTCCATTCTGCCCTACTTCTACAATGTTTAAGATGTGTAATAGATTAGACTTCTAGCTTTTCAGGAAGTTTCCTCTTTGTCCTGCTTAGAATGTTTTTATTAAATTCGTATTTTTTTGCCTTCACCCTTCCTCAGGAAGAGAGGGGGTCTTTAGACCCTCTATAGAGAGGGTCTTTGTTATTTAGAAATATTTAATTTCTTGGGTTTTCTTAGGGAGGGGGAGAGGGGACACAAAAATGCTGGCAAGTAAACATGCCTAAAATAATCCTATAGATAGCACGTTCTTTGAGATAGCATTTTTAAAGGCAAATCCAACACAAAAATGTATCAGGTGATTAAGAAGTAGATAAACCAAGTCTGTGCTTTAAATGTTGTGTAACTAGTTAGAACAAGCATGGGAATTACTAAAATAGATTTCTAGAATTTGGCAGCCACTGTTATTCCAAACTAAAAGGGGAAAATATTTTAAGAGGAGAAATCCTAGCTGAATGTACAAAAATACTTTGTTACATACAAATGTATTTTGCATTGTGATTCAAGCTGCGATCCCTTCTCATCGGATGTCAGACAGAGTGTTGGGAAGGTGTATGGGTATAACCCACCAAGCACGAAGCACTGGTTTGCAGTAACTGGAGTCAAGGTAGGGCTCCTTCTATAGAATCGGACCTTATGAATAATTTGAAGTAAAAAGTGACATTCTGTAGAAATGACATAGGTGTTTTAAAAACCTTACAGGCAATGGGCAGAATGGGTTTGTCTCTGGCCAGTGGTGTGATGTCTGTGGCTGGGATCACACGGAGAGTTTTGGTGGTGGGTGCACCTACTGCAGGTATGTCCTGAAAATTGGAAACCATTTCTGCTTTGGGGCGTTTGTTTCTGTATGACGAGAGGACAGATACAAAGTTAAAAGTTAGAAAAGGGACCTTTAAATTGCCATGCAATTTAAAAAAAAAATATTAAAAAAATAATATCACTGTAATCACCTAGAAGACCCTTACATATAGAGTCCTGTCTATTATGCCTCAACTTCAATGGTTTGTTTTCCTTCCTTAAAATTAGCTTAGCAGCATTACTACCTTGCATTATTTACGTAGCAGTGATTTGCTAGTAGACTGCATATTTCTTGGAATTAAAACAACACAGTAATTTGTCCTTACTCTGGCAGTAGGCAGTAAGGAATTCGGAAAGTCAAAACGTAGAACTCTTATCTTTAACTTGAATGCATTTTTCCCCTGGTACTGTTGCTAAGAGATTGTTTCTGTGCTAATTAGTGTTAATGCCATATAATGTTTGATCTTGTTTCATAAATTATATTAATTTTGTCCATATCACATAATGCCAGTATTACCTGCTGTCAACGTATTGCAAGTATTAAACCTGAGTTCCTATGTCTGATGCTCAGCTTCTGTTCCTTCTTTTTTTTTCAGACAGCCTGTCCAGGATTTCATTTATATCCTCAGTGCTGCACCAAGCTGGACTGGCTCTGGTGTACGATCTGACAGACAGCACCGAGCCTTCTCTGCTCAGCACATTCAGTGGGGACAGGAGGTTTTCCCGCTTTGGAGGAGTTGTACGCTTAAGTGACCTGGATGACGATGGACTAGGTAAAGCTTGATGAATCTAGATCAGAGGTGAAATGTTTTACTTTTGGCAACAGGAAGGCTGGCCACCTACATATTCATGCAAGAGCTAAACAGTCTGCTTCCTCAGTTGACTCATACCAGTATTCCGTTGTGCCTTGTGGGGAGGCATCCCTAAAATCCCAAGCAACTCAGTCAGAAATTGAAACATTTTAACTGTCATCATTAATAGGAATCATGGCATCTAGAGGTATGTAAGTGCCAACTCTCTCGTGTTTTCGTTTAGCATTATTTCACTTCTGATGTGTTATGTCATCCTTGTAATATTTTCAGATGAAATGATTGTGACATCCCCACTGCGAACTAACAGTATCACCACAATACTGTTTGGTGGGGCAGCTGGCCGTGTTTACATTTACAACGGAAAGCAGGCATCCTCAGGGAATGTGACAGGCCACTGCAAATCATGGATATCTCCCTGTCCTGAGGACTGGGTAAGAAAACATAGAAGTGAAATCAGGACATGAGGTCATAATGACAGCTAATTAATTACATCCAGTACAAATATCTAGCACGTTCTAACTTGGTTTCAGAAAACAGGTGGTTTACTTCTGTTTCTGAATCTGCGTGATTTGGCTCCTCCTGTTTGTTCTTGAATTACTTTGCTGTTTAGGGGCCAGGGTTAATGCACTGGTCATCTACTCTCCTAGTGTGGTTTTCTCCACTAACTTTTTATTATCCCTTTTTTTTTCTTCTTCAGGCACAGTATGTCATGATTTCTCCTGAGGTAAGTAAGCAGAAAACAAACTGCTGAAAGAAACTAAAAAGTCCCAGTTTAAAAATACTAACAGCATTATAATAAGTAATACTATTTTACAGGAACTATCAAGATTTGGGAGTTCTGTTATCACTCTGAAATCTGAAAGAAAGGTGAGAAAAATTACTGTTGTCTGTTGCTCCATAACATCTTTCTACCTCACTTGCATATACTAGCCAACACCTCACATATGTATCTTACTCATTTGCAGAAGTCTTAAGTGCTTTACATAGTTAATTTTCATTTAAGTCACTCTCTGAACTGTTAATTAAAACCATTTTATAGGTGGATGAACTACAGAGTGGCCAGAATTTTGGCACCCAACACCTGAATTGAAAGAGATCACTTTAAACCAGCCTGAAATCTAAACTCTTGAGGAGTTTGCTGAAAGGTTACGTGGTAAATCAAGTGTAGGTGCCACCTGGCTTTACGGTTCATACCAACCTGTATGCAAAGTGGATGCTCAGCTATGGAGTAAACCAGACATCGAACCACCCCTCTCATTTAATATTTACAGGCTTGCTGTCCTAGCTATCACTTGCAGTGAACGCTGTTCATTTATCAAGTGTTTCCAAGCATAGAGACCCACTTCTTACTGGAATGATTTTGGATGTGTTTGTGTACCTGTTTCTTTGTTTCCCTCAGATGCCAGTTATTTTTACCCAAAGTCAATCCCTATGTTTGCGTGATGCACTGAGGAACCTTTTTTCCCAGCTCGAAGGTTACTTAGTGCTTGTTCAGCTCAAGGGATTCCAATGTTCTGCTTACTCTGACATAACCTGTGTGAGAACTGAGGTTCTCTGTGTGAGTACTGAGAAAGCCTCAGTACTAGGCTGAGGAGGTTTGACTTCTTGCTGTTAAAACATGCAATGGAGAAACAGCTGGAAATACAAATGCTTCTAAACTAGGTTAGGGTGCAGAATCCAACACCTGAAACACAGGCATTGCTGATGGTTTCTGGATGAGTGCAAGTGAGGCCGTTCTCCAAAGTGTGTTCCTTTGCTATGGCACCAATCCAGTCTACTCTCCAGCTTCATCTGTATTGATCTTACCCCTGAGAAACAGTTTACATTGGCAAGAGATTTGACTGCTCCCAGCTTCTTCCAGTTCCCCAAATGAAATAAAGTCTGTTTGCCATCTCATTTTGTTAAGCGCTATTCTGATGAGGTGGGTTGCTCTCATTTCTCCTCATCGCGTTTCTGTACGACACTAATGGTATGGACAAAATCTGGTTTCTGTTAGGGAAACTTAAGGCAATCGTGCACCTGCAGTTGCATTTTGCTAACCCTTGTTCTGTGTCTCTGCAGAAAGAAGTTGTAGTGGCAGCAGAGAGGAGTTCGGCGAAAGCTCGACTTGGTGGAAGGCTTTTCATCTACTCGCTCTAGAAGTTCACAGTAGCCTTTAAGACCAGAGCACAGCTGGTCTTTTAGTGAAGACTCTCTGTAGTATCTGTGATACTCTCCTTAACCCATACAAACCAACGGACCACATGACAGCAAACTTTTGATAGAGATGTCCCAGACTAGCTCGATAGGGTTCTACCTAGTTTTAAGTGAAGGGGAATATGAGCATTCATGCTGGTTTGACTTCCAACCCAACCAAAGCTATGTCAGTCATGTAAAAGCACAAATTAGTTCTGTTGTGAGCAGTAGCATCACTTAACCTAGAACAAGCAAGCTGGTCTGAAAAGCTTTTAGAGGCTGAAATGAGCAGAAAGCTAGATTTTGGTAGTAGTATTTGGCTATATAAGGGATGCTCAGTGGTCACCTTCTTTACTGGTCAGATTTGAGTATTTTCTTGACAATACCAGGAAGGACTAGCACATCACTTACAACTCCTTGTATACTGTGATACAGACAGGGATTCTAAGATATCAAAAGTTGCTGTCAAAATAACAAGCATGGAGGAAGGGCAACTCTAAGCCAAAGGTGGGTGCCAATCCAAAGGGCTGCCTCTGTCTCTAGCAAGTCTCAAGGCCCGCATTTGGGGTGTAGAACAGCTGGGATCTCCCAGGGAGAAAAGCGCGAGCAAGACTGATTAAGTTTTAGGAAATACTTTTGCTTTTGCACTTGTGGCTGAGACTACTCTGACACCCTTTCTTTGTGTTTTCATGTAAAATTCCATGACCATGGTAGCTTAGAATTATTAACAGTTTTTATTGTTATCAGTATTGTCTTCAACTAATTAACATAACTTTGTATGATGCAGGTTTAACAGTGTGCATCAATTATCTATTAAACAACTTGAGCAGCAAGATGTGATGCTATTATTACCATCACTAGTCCATAGACACGTCTATGTATTTTCTCTCTCTTGCCTCCTTCACAAACATAAAGCATTATTTTCACTTTAACTAACACAAGTCAGTGGAATAGCACAGAATTCTAAAGGTCACACTCCAATGACACGCCTCAACTTACCTTCTTAGGAATTGTCTCTCTCAGGGAGGTTGTTTAAAAAAAAAAAGTTTTAAATCTGAACTTTATGAAGGAAGTAACTGGATGAAACTGGGTGCACAGTACCTACCTTACAGATCTGTTAACTGTGGTGTAAGGCAAAATGAGCAGTGTATTTATAAAGGCAGAATAAAAAGAGTTTTCCTTTTTAAATGAAAATTGATGAAACCAGTATGTTCTGTAGCAATTCCACTCTGAACATACAGCCTCCACTGGCTTTGTTTTTTTCTATGTACGATTTCAGAGTAATTTTACCACATGTGAATGCATTTTGATTACTGGAATTGTAAGAAAACCACAAAACATTTGTTTATGTCTGTGGAGAGAAAGGCACTCTTGTAAAAGATGTGTCTTTCTCCCAGTGCTTTTATTGTGCTTTAAGTCAGGAGGAATAATCAACACAGTTCACAGAAGCCTCTCTGCACAAAAGACAGAGCTTGGAAAGCTTACGTGAAAGCTTTCCAAACAGCTGCACCAACACATTTCAGTCCTGGCCTAATGCAACTACAGCTTCGTTGAAAACATCAGCATCTATATCCCTTCACACCCTGGGCTTTCCTGGGGTTTGTGAGCTGTTGTTTTTTCCACTGGATTGCTCAGTTTAGAAGTTTTTTACATCTCTACCTGCTAAGCAAAAAGGCTGCAAAAAAATACAGCTAAAAAAACTCAAGAACATTACAAACCCCGTTAATTTTCTCACCTTCTCATGCCTTTTATAGATGAAGTCACATACAGAACAAGAACAACTGTTTGAAAATAATTACACACAACTGATTTTAACCAAATTAGGGTCACAGGCCTGCATAATTTTAATTTATGTACCTTTTTATTTCCACTTTTGACTCTTTAGTCCTGAGTAAAAATGTTCACAGCTACAGTTACTGTCTTTTCAATGCCTACTAGTACAGTGATTTACCCGGTGGCACCTAAGGAGCTACTCACTGTATGTTACAGAGAAGTTAAAAAACCCCAAACAAGAAACAGTTTGTGACCTGATTTAGAAGGATTTCATGCTCCCTCTAGAGACCAAGAGAAACCAGTGGAGAACTACACCCTCAGAGTTCAGAGACAAGTCCTAAGAAAAAACATAAATAGCAGGCATAAGAATTTTTCCTCCCTCCTTCAATCCATCACAGGACATCAGGCTTCCACACCCTTTACTAACCCAGCTACTTAACTGTGGTGCAGGCTAGTCCGTGCTTTGTCTTGTCTTCTTGGAGTGAAAAGAGAGAAAGCAGAGCCCAGCTTAAGGGAAACCAACAACTGGTCTGTTGATTTTTACCAGCATTTGAATCAGGCCTTATGACAACATGAGGAGTTGTTAAACTGCAGCTGTATCAATGTGTGTTCAAAGAGTGGCAGATAGCAAGCACAACTGTGCAGTGCCAATAGGTCTGCTTTCCCTGTTACTAAAACTGCAAACATTTTGGGCCTAAATTAATTGTTAAGAAACACCCAAGATAAGTAGCTACATTTCAAAACCTGTTACTGCTCGCTTAAAATAAGGGAAACTACGATTTCTGGTTACTGCCAGTTTAGAGGTGATGGATGCTTCAGAAGAGATGCAGGTATGCTTTTGCTTTGGAAAATCTGTTCTCTGCAATTAAATAGGCCCTTAAAAAAATCCATTAAAAAGGCCACTTTGGGGTGGATTTTTCTTTGACATTTGAAGTCAGATTCCTAAATCTGCAGCTCAGAACCAGAATTATTGATGAATGTTGACTGCTGTCACCCTTTAAGCTGAAAATACTGTTCTCTTTAAGAAAGGCCATTATGCAAAGAGTATTTGACAAAAACACTTAAAATAAGAATGCCCAAAAAATAAGTACATGTATGTGATACCAAAAACTAATGGAACATACGTGGGATGGAGGTGAGACTACGCTCGAAAGCACGTGTTTTCCCTTGCGTTCCTCTCCTCTTGTGTGTGAGCACTGAAATCTCACTATAGGTTTTTGGCACAAAATATATATTAAATAAGCAAGTTTAGAAATTCTTGCAGTTTTCAGTAAGGAAGAACAAATGCAAGGAAAGTGTCCAAAGTGCACCCTGTAACATTAAGAGTCTCTTCATTCCTGCTGTTCCTATTGGTTTGTTAATGTGCTTCTGCTCAGCCCAAATGTTTCTGCTTTAAGGTTGTTCTTTATCTCCACTCTTCCAGCTGCTGGTTGGGATTTTTTCAAAACTGCAGGAACCTAGGCAAGATACAAAATAGCCTGTCATTACGTTAGAAGCTGCTCTATATGCAGCAGAAGGAAATAAAGCTTCACAGAGGCCTGAACCCTGATTTTTCTCCTCTTATTTTTAGAACAGACTCTGGCTTCTCCCTCCCCAATCCTTCCATCTGCCTCTTAATGGCAAGGGAGGGGAGGGAAGAAGGGGAGTTTATCTGGGTCTGACTTTCTTTTGCCACTTGTGGCAACTTAACTTTTGAATCCACTGCTACCTCCCTGTTACAAGTACTGGAGTGCAAAATAAAGGGAGACGAGACAGTCCCACAAGCTTTGGCAGGGAAGCGTAGTCAACGGGGAAAATGACGCACACAAAATCTTGCTAATCTGAGGACGGTCTCCTTGGAACTCTTCACGCAGCTTAGTACAATAGGACTCTCTGATGCCATCAGCATGGATGGCAAAGATAGCTGGTGTGCACATGAGGAGCTATTACAAACTTCGGATTGGGAGTCAGCACATCACAACCATGGCATTGTTCTCCAGAGAAATGTTATAGCCAGTACCTGTCCTCATCGTCCTTTTATCTTTACCTTCTCTTTTACAAGGCAGGGCCTACAGATCCAGAGTATGTGGGTGGGAGGAGGACGGCAGCAGCCATTATGTCCCTCACTATGAACAGACTGCTGCAGCAGCTGAGAAGGCAAATTAGGGCTGCTTCTATCACTAGCCTCAGCTTCTCTTGGGCTGCCAGGTGAAAGTAAATACAGTATGTCTCAAAGAACAGCCTGCAGCTTCACTTCTGGCAACAGTGAGCGGTATCTTACTGCTCAAGTGTATCTCTGCCAGTGCTGGGGCTTCCCACCTCATTCAGTCCAGCTAGGGAGAACCTTTTCCTTTGTCAAGGAGCAGACACTGAGCTGAATTCCCCCGTGCTCTGTGGCCCACCCCTCTACAACAGAGCTTATTTCCCACTTCAGAAGCGGACTGTACATGCAGTCTGAAGCAGAAACCCTAGCCAGCCATACGTACGTGCGGAGGCAGCGGAGGTTCTAGGTGCCGTCCAAGGAAGGAAAGCAAGCGCCGCCATATCAGACCACTTCCCAGAAACATAATTCCTGTCACCAGCCAAAATATTCTGGGGTCCTACCGACAGAACATTCCCATTAGTCATGCAACTCTCTCTTCAGAAAAGGGATTATCCAAAGATAATCCCTCACTCTCCAGCAGTGTTCTCCTCCTTTACGGGAGGAAGTGGTAAACTCTCTACCATCAACAGCCAAGCCCCACCTTGGGAAAAGGGCCATTTCATAGGAAAGCATTTTATTTAGGAATCGCCCTAGTGTATTCTGTTACTGTCCCGTGCAGTTTTCCTTCCTTCATTGGGAAGTTTGAAAATTCAGCCCTTCTATTTAATGGATTTGGAAAGGGAGAAGTCTTTGCTTTTTTTGTTTTAAAGACAGCTGGTGCAACTGTAAATTTGTACACACACACACACACTACCAGTCTAGGTATAAACATGTAATTGACAGTAGAGTATTTCCTCTGGTGTGCTGGAAATGCCCTGGCTGCTTGCCAGATACCCTTGTATCTGGAAGACAAAGCTCATCTTTTCAGAAGAATAGAAGATCATTAAAGAAACCTTAATACTGCTTTAGAGTCAGTCCTCATACAACCATAAATTTGTCTTCCTGTTTCTTTTCCATGGACATTACATAGAAAAAAAGGCTGCAATACTGTGCAGTTAGCCATACGGTAAT